ATCTGCTCATTTTGCTGAGCTGTTTCCAGCCTGATAGCTCCCTCTGCAGCCAGACTGTGATTGGAGGTGGGTAGTGGGTGGAGACAAGGGACAGGGATTGGAGGTGGGTAGGGGGTGGAGACAAGGGACAGTGATTGGAGGTGGGTAGTGGGTGGAGACAAGGGACAGTGATTGGAGGTGGGTAGTGGGTGGAGACAAGGGACAGTGATTGGAGGTGGGTAGTGGGTGGAGACAAGGGACAGTGATTGGAGGTGGGTAGTGGGTGGAGACAAGGGACAGTGATTGGAGGTGGGTAGTGGGTGGAGACAAGGGACAGTGATTGGAGGTGGGTAAGGGGTGGAGACAAAGGACAGTGATTGGAGGTGGGTAGGGGTGGAGACAAGGGACAGTGATTGGAGGTGGGTAAGTGGGTGGAGACAAGGACAGTGATTGGAGGTGGGTAGGGGGTGGAGACAAGGGGGGACATGTAAGTAGGAGTGCAGGGCTGGAGACAAGTTGGGGACTATGTAAGGAGGTAGCACATATATGGTTGGTTTCCCAGTTGTAGGGACTCTGAAAAACGTGGAGGTCGCCAGACACTGGACCTTCGATGAATGATCACCATGATCACCTACATACTGTGTGGCGACCCCTCCCACATCTCCCTCGCACTCCCTCGGCCATCCACCAGACAAGGGAGCCAAGCTCCAATGAGTCCATCCAGTAATAAGTGTGTGGCCCCTTCGTATCGACTTGTAGGCATGTGTGGACCTCCCGGCTAATCCGTCCCGGAAAGAGACTCGGCAAATGGCGTGGAGTCCACTTGACTGGTTTTGCGGTTCAGTCGGCTGCATCAGCGGCACTTAGGGGGTTTCTGGACTAAAGCTGGAGGGTGCAAAGTCAGACCTTCTTCTGCCTAGAGACCAATCAGCTTCTACCTTCAGCTTGTTCAATGAAGCTTCGGCAATGAATCCTGGAAGCTGATTGGTCTCTAGGCAGAAGCGAGCCTGACTTTGCACGCTCCAGTTTAGTCAATAAACCCCATAATGTCTTCCATCATTCACATTCATCAGAATGACATTTAAAATGACCGCCGGGTGTTCTCGGCGCATACGCAATGACGTCATGAACGTACCTACACAGAGCATGTGCACAGCGTCGTGACATCATACTCATGGCTTGGCAGGGCTGTCGATAAGGGGGTACCACCACCAGTCCTCCTGTACGGGGTCCAGGAAAGTGGGGGGGCCAGGCAGTCGGGTGAATTGTGAGCAGGGAGGGTGATCGGCACGGCGGGGGGCAATTACGGGATCCGATCCACAGTCTTTGAAAGAAATCAGAAATATGTTTACATCTTGAATTTGTTTTTCAAATTTGATTTCATTTTCAAATTAATTTTGAATTCGACTCAAATTCAGTGTGAATTTGGATAGTTCATTATTTTGGACAAAATTTTGTTTCGTTATTTTGGCTTTTATTGGTTGCTATTGTAATTTGGCAATTTGGATACCTCCGAAAAAAAAAACAAACATTTTGTCCAAATTTCGATTAGATACGAAACAAACGGGTCTACAAGGGGTACATTGTGACAATGGCATCTGAGAGTGGGTGGGATGTATGAGGCAACAAGTGAACATGTTGTCCCTGAAGTTGATGTGTTGAAATCAGAAAAAAATGAGCGAGCATAAGGATTTAAAAGAGCAGTATGGACATTTATACTCACCTCGTGGACGCAGCAGCATTGATCTCATGCTGCATCTGTCCCCTGCCAGCTTGGCAGTGAGAACGGAGCGATCAAACATCGCTGATCACTCAGTTCTCCCCACCGCTCTGAGCAGAGAGCCGGGGACTGTCAATCTCCAGCTCTTTACTCTTTGTCTCCAGCGCTCACTGGAGCACTGGGCTGAGAAGGGGGTGGGAGGGGCTGAGAAGGGGGTGGGAGGGGCTGGGGGGGATGGGAGGGGATCGGTCTCAAGGCAGATGCAGAGAGGCTGAGCCAGGTGCCAATCTAGGCTTTTGGGTGGATCCCAACCATATGGTCAGATCTTTTCAGAGCCTGGACTGGCCCGCTGTCAGCTGAGAATGGGTCACAGGAGTTCAGAAGGAACTGCACTTGTGTGATCCATAGGAGAAGTACAGACAAAATACTGTAAATTTGGGGCCATACTCCTCTTTAAGTGACTTTGATGACAACCATATTGTAATTTGTAGATGACGGGGTCAGAGCAACTTCAAAACTGCCGCTCTTGTGGGATGTTCCTGATCTGCAGTGGTCAGGACTGACAAAAAGTGGTCCAAGGAAGGAAAACCGGCCAACTGGCGACTGGGTCACGGGTGGCGAAGGCTCATTGATGGAGGCGGGGAGGAAAGGTTCATTGATGGAGGTGGGAAGGTAAGGCTCATTGATGGAGGTGGGGAGGAAAGGCTCAATGATGGAGATGGGGAGGGAAGGCTCATTACTGGAGGTGGGGAGGGAAGGCTCATTACTGGAGGTGGGAAGGAAAGGTTCATTGATGGAGGTGGGGAGGAAAGACTCATTGAGGTGGGGAGTAGGATAATTGATGGAGGTGGGGGGGGCTCATTGATGGAGGTGTGGGGGAGGCTCATTGATGGAGGTGGGGAGGAAGGTTAATTGATGGAGGTGGGAAGGTAAGGCTCATTGATGGAGGTGGGGAGGAAAGGCTCAATGATGGAGATGTGGGAGGGAAGGCTCATTACTGGAGGTGGGGAGGGAAGGCTCATTACTGGCGGTGGGAGAAGGAAAAGGTTCATTGATGGAGGTGGGGGGGAAAGACTCATTGAGGTGGGGAGTAGGATAATTGATGGAGGTGGGGGGGGGCTCATTGATGGAGGTGTGGGGACTCATTGATGGAGGTGGGGAGGAAAGGCTCATTGATGGAGATGAGGGGGGAAGGCTCATTGATGGAGGTGGGGAGTAAAAGCTAATTGATGGAGGTGGGGAGGAAGGCTCAATAATAGAGATGGGGAGGGGGCTCATTGATGCAGGTGGGGAGGGGAAGGCTTATTGTTGGAGGTGGGGGGAAGGCTCGGGGAGGGAAGGCTCATTGATGGAAGAAGGGGAGGGAAGCCTAACTGATGGAGGTGGGGAGGAAAATCTCATTAATGGAGGTGGGGGGGAAGACTCATTAATAGAGATGGGGAGGGAAGGCTTATTGATAGAGGTGGGGAGGGAAGGCTCATTGATGGAGGTGGGGGGAAGGCTCACTGATGGAGGTGGGGGAGGAAAAGCTCATTGATGGAGGTGGGGAGGAAAAGCTCATTGATGGAGGTGGTGAGGGAAGGTTCATTGATGGAGGAGGGGAGGGAAGGCTCATTGATGGAGGAGGGGAGGGAAGGCTCATTGATGGAGGAAGGAGAGGGAAGGCTGGCCTGTGTAAGCTGATCCGAAAGAACAGCTACTGGAGCTCAAATTGCTGAAAAAGTGAATGCTGGTTCTGAGTCAGAATGCCCCATGCTGACCCGTGTCCACAACCAAAAGAGCCTACAATGGGCACATGAGCATCAGAACTGGACCACGGAGCCATGGAAGAAGGTGGCCTGGGCTGATGGATCATGTTTTCCATCATGTGGATGGCCAGGTGGGTGTGCATTACTTACTGGGTAGGAGATGGCACCAGGATGCAGGATGGGAAGAAGACCGTGTGATGCTTCGCCTGGTGGAGTCCATTCCAGGCCTCAGAGGGTCAGGGTCAGGGGTCAGGGGTCCGGGCTGTTTTGAGGGCGTAAGGGTGTCCTACTCAGTGGGTGGTCATAATGTTATGGCTGATTTGTGTCTAGAACTGATTGAAGGTTTCTTGGCGACAAAGCATGTGACGCAGGACCTGCGCTGACCCTTCTTCATCGCAATGCCTTTTATGCAGAAAAACCCTCAATGACTAATTAGGAACAATATCGCTATCTCTGTGCGCGGTGACCGACCGCATTGACCGCATTGAATGGAACCCCGTGGCTTTCATTGTCCTCTGTTGTGTCTAATAGATTTTTCCAAGCTGTAGGCCGCGTCGGCCGCCGCTGGGCTCTCAAATAAATGCATTTACGTGTCAAGAATGAGCAAAACCCAAGTTGATTCTTTACAATTGGAACCTCTTCGCCTCGTGTTGGTGCCGCCAGTCTATAGATTATTGATCAGGAAGGTGGCTTCTCATCAGCCATGTCTCTTCACAAGAAGAAAGCCTTGAAATGGTGTCGGCTGGTTGTCAGTCGTCTTCGGATTCCTCAGCAGATGAAACAGACCTTCCAATGAATGAAGAACGGGAGGAAGACATTGATCACATCCACTAGGAGACCCGCAGCAAACTCAAAGGTGAACCAAACGCAAAATGATTCTCAGACTTTTCAAAACTGGACGACGAAGAAGACATTTTCAAAAGAAGGCTGTCAAGTGGAAGCGTCTTTCATGTCGCTTAGAGATTGTTTGTGAAGGGAAGAGAAGATTGGGCGCACCAATCGGGCATCGCCCTACAGTCATGTGACTTGGCACGGGGCCCCATTGATCATTGTTGAATCCTCCGTTTTGTTTTGTGGAAGGAAAAAGCCTCGATAGGCAATTGCCCACCAATCTATCGACAAATCGGCTATTATGCCCCTAACCTTGCCTCAGTTACCGATCATTTCTGCAACCATTAATGCTTCACAATTGACCGAGTCAAAGAATGGAATTCTCCTGTAGCCTCTCTCCACCTTCCTAACGTGGGAGAACCCTTGAAATGACTTCCATTCTCAGGGGATCCTTACTAAGAATTGCCACATTTACAGCCCATGAAATATTAGCATTCGTGGTCAGTGGGAAGAATGTCCCTTACATTGGGGGTCAGTGGGAAGAATGTCCCTTACATTGGGGGTCAGTGGGAAGAATGTCCCTTACATTGGGGGTCAGTGGGAAGAATGTCCCTGACATTGGGGGTCAGTGGGAAGAATGTCCCTTACATTGGAGGTCAGTGGGAAGAATGTCCCTTACATTGGTGGTCAGTGGGAAGAATGTCCCTTACATTGGGGATCAGTGGGAAGAATGTCCCTTACATTGGGGGTCAGTGGGAAGAATGTCCCTGACATTGGGGGGTCAGTGGGAAGAATGTCCCTTACATTGGGGGGTCAGTGGGAAGAATGTCCCTTACATTGGGGGTCAGTGGGAAGAATGTCCCTTACATTGGGGGTCAGTGGGAAGAATGTCTCTTACATTGGAGGTCAGTGGGAAGAAGAATGTCCCTTACATTGGGGGTCAGTGGGAAGAATGTCCCTGACATTGGGGGTCAGTGGGAAGAATGTCCCTTACATTGGAGGTCAGTGGGAAGAACGTCCCTTACATTGGGGGTCAGTGGGAAGAACGTCCCTTACATTGGGGGTCAGTGGGAAAAACGTCCCTTACATTGGGGGTCAGTGGGAAGAATGTCCCTTACATTGGTGATCAGTGGGAAGAATGTCCTTACATTGGGGGTCAGTGGGAAGAATGTCCCTTACATTGGGGGTCAGTGGGAAGAATGTCCATTACATTGGTGATCAGTGGGAAGAATGTCCCTTACATTGGGGGTCAGTGGGAAGAATGTCCCTTACATTGGGGGTCAGTGGGAAGAATGTCCCTTACATTGGGGGTCAGTGGGAAGAATGTCTCTTACATTGGTGGTCAGTGGGAAGAATGTCTCTTACATTGGTGATCAGTGGGAAGAATGTCCCTTACATTGGGGGGTCAGTGGGAAGAATGTCTCTTACATTGGTGATCAGTGGGAAGAATGTCCCTTACATTGGGGGTCAGTGGAAAGAATGTCCCTTACATTGGGGGTCAGTGGGAAGAACGTCCCTTACATTGGGGGTCAGTGGGAAGAATGTCCCTTACATTGGGGGTCAGTGGGAAGAATGTCCCTTACATTGGGGTCAGTGGGAAGAATGTCCCTTACATTGGGGGTCAGTGGGAAGAATGTCTCTTACATTGGAGGTCAGTGGGAAGAATGTCCCTTACATTGGGGGTCAGTGGGAAGAATGTCCCTGACATTGGGGGTCAGTGGGAAGAATGTCCCTTACATTGGAGGTCAGTGGGAAGAACGTCCCTTACATTGGGGGTCAGTGGGAAGAACGTCCCTTACATTGGGGGGTCAGTGGGAAAAACGTCCCTTACATTGGGGGTCAGTGGGAAGAATGTCCCTTACATTGGTGATCAGTGGGAAGAATGTCCTTACATTGGGGGTCAGTGGGAAGAATGTCCCTTACATTGGGGGTCAGTGGGAAGAATGTCCATTACATTGGTGATCAGTGGGAAGAATGTCCCTTACATTGGGGGTCAGTGGGAAGAATGTCCCTTACATTGGGGGTCAGTGGGAAGAATGTCCCTTACATTGGGGGTCAGTGGGAAGAATGTCTCTTACATTGGTGGTCAGTGGGAAGAATGTCTCTTACATTGGTGATCAGTGGGAAAAATGTCCCTTACATTGGGGGTCAGTGGAAAGAATGTCCCTTACATTGGGGGTCAGTGGGAAGAACGTCCCTTACATTGGGGGTCAGTGGGAAGAATGTCCCTTACATTGGGGGTCAGTGGGAAGAATGTCCCTTACATTGGGGGTCAGTGGGAAGAATGTCCCTTACATTGGGGGTCAGTGGGAAGAATGTCCCTTACATTGGGGGGTCAGTGGGAAGAATGTCCCTTACATTGGAGGTCAGTGGGAAGAATGTCCCTTACATTGGGGGTCAGTGGGAAGAATGTCCCTTACATTGGGGGTCAGTGGGAAGAATGTCCCTTACATTGGGGGTCAGTGGGAAGAATTCTCCTTGAATTGGAGGTCAATGCTCCTCCCATTTGTGGCCCCTGGGAGGGATCCCCCTTTCTTAGAGATAGATAGATATGTGAGGGGTAAACATTGCTTATAATAATAGTGCAGACAGTGCAGCCGTGGGAGGTCCTTCCGGGACTTAGGGGAACATTTGTACTAAATATGGGTGAGATGAGTTCTGGGACCATCTCCTGCTACGTAGACCTGGACTTGGATCACTTCTATCTCGCTGTTTGCCAACAAAATTGGTGTTTTTACTTTGCCAGTAATATCCTGAGTGGCCCAAAATGTGGTGTCATGAGGGCCTTTGAGTGACTTTGTTCTACTTTGTTAGTTTCTGTCGGTCTCTAAAGCCGTAGTTGACCCTCCAAAGGTTAGAGCAGAAAAGTTGAAGGTTCCGGAGTTGCCTTCACAGTCTCCTGACCTTCATATCATCGATCTGCTCCGGGGAGACCTCCAACGTGCGCTTCATGGAAGATGACCAAAAAGTTTGCTTGATCTGGAGGCATTTCGCCAAGACGAATGGGCGGCTCCACCAACGGCAAGAATTCGGGGGCCTCATAGACAACTATTACAGGACACGGCACACTGTCATTGGTGCTAAAGGGGGCGCTACACAGGATTAAGAGCTAAGGGGGTGCAGACTACTGAACAGGGGGCGTGTCTTTGTTTTATGATTGGGCCATTCTGTTATCACCTCCAGTTATAGAACATGAATCCCATAAGACCCATCCAAGAAATGACCTGCTGACTTCGTGATACATGGTCCATCCTGTATATTACCAATTCCCCAAAGGGGGGGGGGGGAGGGGGGGCAAACTGTATATATGCTGTGGGTATTAGATTATAGCTTCTTTTTTTTTTAATGGTTGAACTTGATGGACTTTTGTCTTTTTTCAGCCAGACGAACTATGTATATGTACTATATATAGACACACATACATGGTATACAGTATACGTATCTGTACTATATATATACACACACGGTATACAGTATACGTATCTGTACTATATATAGACACACATACATGGTATACAGTATACGTATCTGTACTATATATATACACATGGTATACAGTATACGTATCTGTACTATATATAGACACACATACATGGTATACAGTATACGTATCTGTACTATATATAGACACACATACATGGTATACAGTATACGTATCTGTACTATATATAGACACACATACATGGTATACAGTATACGTATCTGTACTATATATAGACACACATACATGGTATACAGTATACGTATCTGTACTATATATATACACACGGTATACAGTATACGTATCTGTACTATATATAGACACACATACATGGTATACAGTATACGTATCTGTACTATATATAGACACACATACATGGTATACAGTATACGTATCTGTACTATATATAGACACACATACATGGTATACAGTATACGTATCTGTACTATATATAGACACACATACATGGTATACAGTATACGTATCTGTACTATATATAGACACACATACATGGTATACAGTATACGTATCTGTACTATATATAGACACACATACATGGTATACAGTATACGTATCTGTACTATATATATAGACACACATACATGGTATACAGTATACGTATCTGTACTATATATAGACACACGGTATACAGTATACGTATCTGTACTATATATAGACACACATACATGGTATACAGTATACGTATCTGTACTATATATATATACATGGTATACAGTATACGTATCTCTGTGTATATTCCTGCTCAGTGTACTACCCTTATTGTTATTTGCAGTAGTGTATTCTTACCACTTTTTTCTCTTTTTTTTCTCCTTTACTTGTATTAACCCCCCTGGAGGTATTCCTGAACTCGGGGTTAACTTTCAGTACCAAAAGCGGTAACCCCCACCCCCCCCCATACCCCCATACCCCTACCCCCACACCCCCCCCCCCGAGCTACACTCGGGAATACACTGCAGCACTTCTCCAGCGATCACTATTTCACTTACCTTGTCCTGCGCTCCCGCGACGTCCCCCCTGCAGTGTCCCCTGTAATGTCCTCCGGCCGATGCCGGCATCCATCTCTCCCGGGTTCCTTTCCCTGCGACGTCGGGACGTACGGGGGGCGGAACTGGAGGGAAATTCAAAAATGTCAAAATTGTACATTCACTAAATACACTAAAATCTGATATTATTCCATTCCTGTATCAAACCATTTCACATACATTGTGTCCCGAGTGCTTTGTCCAACGTCCTACCTGCATTTTTACCGCCCTTTCTGCCTGGAAACTGAGAAACGTCCATGGCGTCCAAAAAGCGTCCCTTTAGGTCAGACGCGGTTTTAGACCGGCTAGAGAACAGCGATAGTAAATCAGAACCACTTGCAGAATTGAGTGATAATGATTGGTGGGGGAAATTCCTCATCAGACACTGAAAACGATTCTGCGACTGAGCTCAGCGATGGGCCAACTTGGCGCTATATTTCACATTTCAGTGTTTTTGGTGATTATATTATTGAATTACATTTATTATTATTATATTATTATTTTTTTATGATTATTTATATTATTATAATTTATGATTTCGTGTTTCAAGTTTTATCCTCCCCGGGATGTTTACTAGACTCTTGTCCGGACAGATTTCAGGGAGTTATTCCTGAGAATTACAGTAAAAAAAACCCGACATATTTGCATGCAAAAAAATGTACCGCTTTGAGCACAGAAATCCTGACATCATCAGACCGTCGGGAGGTTCTCACCATTGGCCCCCCGTAGTGTCTGTTCTCGGGACGTCATTGCTGAGTATTCAGGTTTTGTGGCTGATCTCTTAGTAAAACTTCATGCTTGTGTGCTCAGAGAGACGGAGGGTCTGAGAAGGTCCAGGCCAGCATCAGAGGACCCATCTAAACTGGCGGCTCCTACAGGGGTGGCGCTACATACCGACAGTCCAAGCTGGACCAACGCAACCATGTAAAAATGTCCATTCCTGGAATTCAGCTCTCAGAGTCGGTCCTGTTCCCGCAATCAATCTAAACACAAAAGGGTCGACTTATGAAGCAGTAAAGCTGACTCTCCCTGGTGGGGAATCGATCGCTGCCCTTCGACACACCTAGAAGATTCACCTGTAGGGAAAGTCTGCTGAATGTCCAATGCTTTGTAAATCTGCCCCAAATGGTTGGGATCACCTGGGAGCCAATCAGAGGCCTCCCTGGACTACGAGTGGATGGTGCTCTCCGCCTGAGCTGGAGATCGGAGTTTTCATCGATCTGTCCAATAGCCCTGATTGCATGATATGTGGATGCGGCATGTTTAATGACTGCGAGGAGCTCTGCATCAGACCCATGTGGTGCTCTCTGTGCTGTGCGTGCGCGTATTCCCAACAGCCACCGATAATTGCTGACTTTGATGCCGAACTGTTAATGCAAAAGATTTATGTTCTCTATTGTTTTATCCTTTCTGTACGAGTTAAAAAAATAAAATATATATATAGTCATGGACTATTCCTCCCACTGACACCAATGATGGGGCACTATTCCTCCCACTGACACCAATGATGGGGCACTATTCCTCCCACTGACACCAATGATGGGGCACTATTCTCCCACTGACACCAATGATGGGGCACTATTCCTCCCACTGACACCAATGATGGGGCACTATTCCTCCCACTGACACCAATGATGGGGCACTATTCCTCCCACTGACACCAATGATGGGGCACTATTCCTCCCACTGATACCAATGATGGGGCACTATTCCTCCCACTGACACCAATGATGGGGCGCTATTCCTCCCCTGACACCAATGATGGGGCGCTATTCCTCCCGCTGACACCAATGACGGGGCGCACTATTCCTCCCACTGACACCAATGACGGGGCTCTATTCCTCCCACTGACACCAATGACGGGGCGCTATTCCTCCCACTGACACCAATGACGGGGCACTATTCCTCCCACTGACACCAAGGACGGGGCGCTATTCCTCCACTGACACCAATGACGGGGCACTATTCCTCCACTGACACCAATGACGGGGCACTATTCCTCCCACTGACACCAATGACGGGGCACTATTCCTCCACTGACACCAATGACGGGGCACTATTCCTCCCACTGACACCAATGACGGGGCACTATTCCTCCCACTGACACCAATGACGGGGCACTATTCCTCCCACTGACACCAATGATGGGGCACTATTCCTCCCACTGACACCAATGATGGGGCACTATTCTTTCCACTGACACCAATGACGGGGCACTATTCCTCCCACTGACACCAATGATGGGGCACTATTCCTCCCACTGACACCAATGACGGGGCACTATTCCTCCCACTGACACCAATGACGGGGCACTATTCCTCCCACTGACACCAATGACGGGGCACTATTCCTCCCACTGACACCAATGATGGGACACTATTCCTCCCACTGACACCAATGATGGGGCACTATTCCTCCCACTGACACCAATGATGGGACACTATTCCTCCCACTGACACCAATGATGGGGCACTATTCC